AATTAAGATCCCAAGTAGCAAATCTAGAAAACAATTTATCACAGGAGAAAAAAGTAATCCTAAAATACGATACAATTAATTGATAATATTATCATATATTTAATTACTTATTATCATCATCACCATTATTGTTATTATCAGGTTACCTATTCCAATGAGACCCAGCATCGGGATCAAATTATTGAACGTAATACATTATTGATGACAGCATATCAATATTTGGATGCTTTAATGTCAGATGGAAGTAATAAACAAGTTAGTTAACTTATAATCATCACCATCATCGTCGTCATTATTATCAGAAAATGTATTTAATTTAACAATGTTATTTTTTTAAAGTCGAATTATCCTAAACCATCAACCAACTTTAAACTTTTCCATGAGCAACTTTTATCTAAACTAAAAACAATTAGTGCCGCTTATAATAATTTTGATAGTCGTGTTAAAGAAATTGTTATACGGTGGCAAGAACAATACGAGTAAGTATATTTATCTGTTATCATCAATTTTACCCTAATAATTGAAAACCTTCAATTCATTCGCAATTCTTATGAATGCATTGTCTAGATCCCTTAAAAATCAAATGGACCTTAAAATAAGCCATATAGCTAAACTTGAAAATGCTATCAACAAGATTGCAAGCAATCAAGAACATTGGAAAGAACAAGCCAGGAAAGCCCAAAATGAACTTGAAATAACAAAGGTTTTTTTCTTTGAAATATCAATCTCAATGTCAATATAATGTCAATGCACATATTTATCCTTGATATTATTCTTATTATTTAATTCAGAGTACAAACGAAGAACTTAATGATCAAATGTCAAGTCTACGTCAACAACTTGAAGAATTAAGAAATGTAAAATTACATGCCAATGAACTTGAAAATAAGCTCAAGGAAGGCGAACGGCAAATCAGAATCATTGAATCCAAATTCAAAGATGATGAAAGAAAATGGGAAATGAAACTTAAAGATTTGGAGTTCAAGGATATGCAATCCGTAGAACGATTCAAAAATGAAGCGCAAACTTCAAAGGAGAGAATTGATTCATTAAATGAAACTTTGAAGTATGTTTACACATGGAAATTTAAAATTATTATTATTATATAACAATCAGTTAATAATAGATAATTATAATTATATACAGAGATATTGAAACACAATTACAAGCTCAAATTCGTAGAAATAACCAATTACAAGAATTGAACTCTATACAAAAAGCTTCAATGGAGGTGTGTTCTTCATTTATACATTCAAAAAAAAATTTTCAGAATTATTATTAAATATTATTTCAAATTTTTTTTAAGGCAACCAATGAATCTAAAGCCATTGCAGCAAAAGCAGAGAGCACTTTTGCAATGCTTAACGAACAACTCAGAGAACAAATGGAAGAAAAAAATAAAACTATTGAAAGTGAGCGACAAAGAATTAAAAAATATGAAGAACAGGTATTTTATTTAATAATACTTTGCTTGGTTGTTTGAAGTCATGGTTTTATTAAAATTTTTAATTTTAATTATTCACTCCCTATTATTATTATTAGTTTGATGCTATAGTGGAGGAACAAAAACGTTTGCATGATCAGATTGGAAAACGTGATGTTATGATTAATAAAGCTCTCAGTGGATTACAGGTACTTTATATTTATATTCATCTATTATAAAAAGTATTAAGTAATAATTAATATTGAAACTTTTTAAAAATAAATTTTTATTTTAAAAGTTGATAAATCAAAGAAAAGATTTGATGGAGAATGCTATAGTTCGTCAATTAACAGAAGAGATGCAAACTGCTCTTATGTTAGATGGAGATAGTAATCGTCGACAGGGTTATCAGCCACCACAATTTATCAATCCACCGTGGAAACCAGCAGGATCGGGTAATGGTTTCTCTTTAATAAAAAAACCAAAATCAACAAATACCCCAGCTGCTTCAAAATCAGCTATACCTACAATATCATCTTTGAGTAAAAAAACTTCACTGTTGGGAGGGTCAAACATTGCAAAGCCTAGTGGTGGGTCCCGGTTGCCAATAAGTGATAAGGGTACTAATAACAGTAATATCGCTAATATTAACGGATCCGGTACTACATCATCTACAACAATTCCACGATTAACATCACCAACCAACAACATTGGGAAAGGCAATAAATAATTAATCGTCTATATTACTCTTAATTGTAAATTTTTTTTTATTTTAATTATTAATAAATTTAATTAATTTCCATGATTGTACATTAATGTTTCTCTATTAATTCAAAACTTTAATTTAATGACTTTTTTGTCAAGAAATTCTTATCTTTTTCTCATAAGCAATCAATGTCTATTTCAATGGCATTTCCAAATATCTTCAAGTTGAAAATTCTATATTTAATGATTTAAATTAAAAGATTCAAAATTATGTTTAACAATGTTTATTCCAATTTTTCATATCAATGGATTATTTTTTGAGTCATTTTTTCTAAATTTTATGAGTGTCAATTTTAGTATTATTTTGGATTGTATCTCAACAAAACCGTTCCTTAGTGCTTCGCCAAATTAATAGAAACATCTGATTGCCTTTCACCCCCTGGTCAGTAAGTTGGAAAAGCTTGAACATCGTTTAGAGTAGCGCGTCTCCGTTCAACTAAAGGCACGAAAATTTTCACAATCAGTATATTGATTGCTGTCGATGTAAGCTTGGATACATATATATAACGGAGCTTGTATGGATTAAGTAAACTTTCAAGAAGACCATCAGTCACTCAAGACATTGGGAGTACGTGATAAATCTCGATTTCTATCTGGTATAAGAGGAAATGGGGAATCTGAAAGCCCAATAAATCTTGATCAAGTTCCTCAGCCGAATGTGAACATGGTTAGGATAGTTAATTCGATCAATTAGCCCTTGTCAGTTGGAGAATCATTAGTTTTAAACACAACTTAAAACAAGCAGTCATTATAATAATTGTTATCACCATCAATGGATTCCTTATAATGATTTAAAAAATATTGAAAAGGTGGGTGAAGGTGGGTTTGCAACTATATACAAAGCTACTTGGTTAAATGGTGATGTGTATGCAGCTGGTAGTGAAAGAATGAGCATGGACATGACTGTGGCATTAAAAAAATTACATAATTCACAAAATATTTCTGATGAATTTCTTAATGAAGTAAATTATTTTATTTTTCTATTTATTTTCAGATTTTTAAATATTATTGATTATTATTGTTGTAATTAAAATATTTTGTTTGTTATTTTAGTTCAAAAATTATGTGAAGCTTAAGGGTGAATTTGATATAATTTGTGTTTATGGATTAACACAAGATCCAATTACAAAAGAATATATGTTTGTGATGAGTTATATGGAAGATGGAAGCCTTCAAAATTATTTAACTAAAAATTTTAAAAATTTAAAATGGAAGCACAAAATTCGTATTCTTCAACTAATTATTGAAGCTTTAAAAGGTATTCATGAAAAAGAAATTATTCATCGCGATCTTCACAGTGGTAATATTCTTCAAGAAAGAACATCAGCATATATTACTGATTTGGGATTATCATGCCTAGCTAGTCAAGTATCTGCATCAAACAAAAATGATATATGTGGAGTACTACCATATATTGCACCAGAAGTTTTAAGAATGAAACCATATACAAAAGCATCAGATGTATATAGTTTTGGAATTCTGATGTCTGTAGTATCAACTGGTCAACAACCATTTAATAACTTGGCACATGATATAGATCTTGCAATAAAAATATGTGAAGGTGCAAGACCTGGATTTTCAAACAACACTCCAAAGTCATACATTGAACTAGCATTCAGATGCATGGATGCTAATCCAAATAAACGTCCAACTGCCAAAGAAATTTATGAGATTTTTAGGTTTTGGAGTTATGCTAAATCAGATGAATCAATTATAAAAGAGTTTGAGAAAATGGATGAAATCAAATTTGATCCTTCAACAATTACTCCAGTAATTCATCCAAATGCAGTTTATACTAGCAGATTATTAAAATTTACAAACCTTCCCCAACCTGTGAATTCCAATAAAGTAACAATTATTGGTAATAATAATGGTAATTATTAATATTCAATCATTGGTTATTTTTATTTTTAATTTTTAAAATTAACAATATTTATTAATTTCCACTCTTTGTGATAAATATTTTGTAGATTCTAAACAATTTAATTTAGTTATTTTTGAAGATTCTAGACAGATGGAATTAATCATACCAGATGAATTACCCCAATAATCCAAATCTTGTTATTATATTAAATTATTTATTATTTATTTTTAAATATTTCAAGTAATGATGTAACTTTTCACAATTATCTTTGGAATTTTTTTTTCATTTGAAATTTGGATGTCAAATAAGCACACATTAAAATAATGATTTTTGACAAAAAAATAAATGTAATTTTAATAATCATAATTGCAGTATTATTTATTCCTTACCTTTTCAAATCAATATTTTCATTTTTTATAACATTAACAAATTTATCATATATATAATATATAGAATAATATATAAATTTTAAAATTTAATACATGACTTTTTTATATGATTCAAGGATAGTCTGCAAAATAAAGAAATTTAAATAGATATTCAACAAACTTGCCCAAGTAAAAAAAATTACCAATGAAAATTTTACAAATTCAAAATGGATAATTTATTTTTTCAGCCACAAATGTATCTGGAGCACCCAAACTGACTCTGAATAGTTTTCCTTCTTTTTCTATGTGCATTTTGAATAAATTCATAAATCAGCAATCCAAAATAACGGAAACATAATTGCAATAAAATAAAAAAAACTTAGTGTAAACTATATATGACAATGCACAATATTTAGATGTTATTTCTACATTTCCTTTGCTTCTCCAAAATGTGTGACACAAAGAGTCTACTGAATTCCTAAAACATTTTAAAAGGTCTGATAGATACTTTGGTTTTTGTGTTTTATCAGGTAGTCCAATGTTTTCAAACAAAAAAATTATATTATCGGTTTTTTTATAATCATATAATATCCCATTTCCATTTTAATGACACTATATCATTTTCATTCCTATTCAAATAAGAATAATTAGATTAATAAATTTTACATAATTTCCATTTGTTATTTCCATTTGACTTATCAACTTGATATAAATACACCAGGGAAATATAATTTTCACAGTAGAGGTGTAGGTATTTCATCCATATCTTTATCTAACTGAACACCAAAACCTGCTTGTAATTGCATCAATTTGATCTTGATTATTTCTTTTATTAACCCAGAGCTTTCAATATCAAACCCATTGAATAAATTTGTTTATTTTATTTTATTAAGGTGTCATTTATTTTTCTCTAAAAAAGAAGGAAGACGGTAAAGTCATATGAACTAATTAAAAAAATAATAATAATAAGTTTTGCTTACTCCAAGGTTACATTTAATTCAATCTTTTATTCTGTTTATATTAATTGTTTGAAAGGAATTCGTTTTTTCAACTTATTAAACAATTCTTGATCTATAATATGACATTTTTCTTCACTAATATTTATGATATTTGCCTCAGGAAGCCTATTTTGAATAAAATTTTTAGTTAAAAATTATAGATTTTTGCAATCAATCATTAATATAATCTTTGAGCCGACCTACCTTTAAATTGTTCATCTGTTAACCCATCAGCTTCGACTCCATTAGAAAACATAACTTGAGATATGCTTCTGAACATAAAAATTCCAAATTTAGTGTGAGCTGACTGATTTAAAAGGATTAAATCTGTGATTTACCCCAGATAAAGACACTACCATAAAAAGCACTTTTTGTGATTCAAATCATAACCTAATAAAAAAAATTTATATATGTTGTATGTGAAATTGAAACAATGTGAAAATCGAAATTTATAATTAAAATTTTGGGGTGGGGTGTTTGGATATGAAGTTTTGATTGGCTAATTTGAATTTCACATGTGTGAATTGCAAATTCACGTAGATTTCAACGGTGATGATGATGTTCTAAAGAACACACACAAATACAAAGAATTTTAAACTAATGTAAATTAATTACCCTATTTTTTTTAATATTGGGTGTAGGATCTGCTTTAATCTATTAAAAAAAAAGCCCGAAAATAATTAATATCATTACTGCAAGATAGATATCTCAAGGTTGCAAACACGTATTTATAATTGAATCAATACCTTTTTAGTTCTCAAATTATAATTATTGATAGCTTCTCCATTATCCACTCCAATAAATATACAATCATTAATTAAAATTAGAATGGCAGTGAGTTACAATGATCACAACCATTACCATCATTCTTTTAATAATAACTAGAATGATGACATGTTTCAGTATTGCAACACTTTATAAATTTCGTAATTTTTTGAAAGAAAGTATTTTAGTAATGATCATATCTCACAACAATCATAAATAAAATTCAAAGTTCACCTCGTTTCTGCTAGAGTTTCTATCCATAAATTCGTGATACAAATTCTTATTCAAATTATTCGTTTTATTCGAATTATTCGTTTTATTTTGAATTACTCGTTTTATTTTGAACTACTCGTTTTATTTTGAATTATTCATTTTATTATGAATCAATCACACCAGCTTTATCAATTAATTACAGTCAGAGTTTTATTATCAAATATATATTATTAAAAGATTAAAGATTAAAGGAAATTTCAAGTGTACTTCTTCTTGAAGTATTACAAATAACATGACTTTTTACATGATTTTGTCCAATAAAATATAATAAATATGATTAATAAAGAATGACCAATATTAATATTACTAATATTAAATGTCAAAATGAATGTCATGATTAAGGATGGTTTTGAAAAAATCAATTTCAGCAAGCAATTTCAGATTTACAATAATTATAACAATAGACATGAAAAAGCTACCCAGAATTTTGGCCATTGAGTTAAAGCATTCAAATAATTTCAGATATAATTTCGGCAACTAATAAAATTATTCAGCATTTCAGGATCATTTATTAATATTAAGAGAGGCAATTTTGGCTAACATGCTTAGTCATATATAAAATGAATTGGTTGACAACAATTGGGATCCAGGTCCTCAATTTACTATGAAATGATTTCATTAATACATGTATGATTAGTCTCAGGAACTTGCTTATTTAATTATTCATAACAATGTTTTGTTCTTTACTATTTTTCTACTTGGATAATTGGTTGTAGTGGCATCTGAATCAATTTTTATGCAAAGATATCAAATGTTTTGTCATTATTATCATTGTTAAAATTCATATGCGCTGATTTTGTTTGAACCCCAAAATTCAGTACGGTATTATCATAAAATTATGAATACTTTATTTATACAGTACTAGCAAAAACCCCTTGGTTTTGAGGTGGGGCCATTGGTTTGAATAGTAAAATTAGTTTTTTTGCGGTGCAAAATAAATTTTTTTACACATTAAAAATACTCGTGTTTAACGTCGAGACACAATAAGATATAAAATTCGAAAAAAGGTCAAATCAGCTGATATATCGATTATCGTTACGGTTGTCAAAATAGTCACTATAACTAGCAATAATATTTGCAATTACAGATGTTAATTTATTATTGTAATTATTTCAGTATTATTAATTACAAGCTACATCCGGAAAATATAAAAAAATTTTACACGTGTCAATTGTAAGTTTAATAATAAAAAAGTGTAAAACTTACGTCGGCACTGTAAGATTTACACAATATTACGTCGGCATCGTAAGATTTATGCAAGTTTACGCTAAATTAATTTCCTGATGTATTTGTGAATATTATTAATAATAGAAAAAAAGTCAGTCATATTTACATTTTAAACACAGTGATAAAATAATTTATTACTACTAAGGTTGCTTGCCGAAACTAACTAAGGGGTTTCGGCAGAATGGCGTATGCGAAACTGCCGAAATAGTTTTAGCAAATCGTTCTGAATACCGAAACGCCGAAACTGTAGCTGACTTTTGGTATAGCTGTTAGTAAGATTTTAATATAGTTTCGCCATAGTTTAACCTAGAGGTTGAGAATCAACTATTTTAGTTAACTAATACTAACTACCAGTATAATATAAATTTTTTTTGAATAAATAGTGACTATATTTTAATTGATTATTTAGTATTAGTCTAGAGTTCTATTCGTAATTTTTATTCGTACAACTTAATATTAATATTAATATTAATGTTAATTCGTTTTATTCGTTTTATATATAATAGTAATGGTAAAAATCATCCAGTTCCGCTTTACGTTCTTATTGTAACATGATGTTTTCACTTGCATTTTCTGTTTATCAAAAAAAAAATTTTTTTTGTTCAAGCCGTTTTTGCACTATTTCAATCTTGATTGGGGATTATGCATATGAAAATCAACATAATACAAAATAATGGTTCGTCAAAATCTTTCTCAGCTGATTCTTTTTTATGTTTTCTACTAAAACGTGTTACTCATTTGCATCCGACTCACCTGCTTCTACTCTTTGTTTTAGATCTGAGCATTTCTTACTACATTTCCTGACAAAAAATAGACTCTTGGAAGTTGTTTTACTTGCTCAGACATGCGGTTACTTCCACCATGCTTTCTAAAAATTTTTGTTTTTCACGAAGAGCCCAACCCAGTTCAAAGTAATTCATTTTAAAAATTAAAAAATTTAATTTAACATCTAAAAAATATTTATTATAATAATTTTCTTCTCTATAATGGACCATTTGGTTCAAGAAAAATGTCCGTTATGGACAATAATATATATATATATATATACATATAAATTGGGCTTAAATTTTCAGTACATTATAGAGAGTGGACTGTTATAGACAATAATAATTTATATATATAGACATGTAAATTGGGCTTTCCGTTATTATTATATCAATTATATATAGAGTGTGAACTGTGACTTATTCATTTTTTTAACTGCTTCACCTTCATTCCCCAGGCATCATTATATTAATATGGCGTTTTATTGTTTTGTATATTTCAATTAATATTTGTTCAACAATGCAAATTTTCATAGGGAAATAAGAAAAATATTTATTTAATATAATACCTTTTGATTTTGTATAGGGTTTTTTCTCTAATCTGCTTTCATAATGTAAATGATGAATGATTGAGCCCAATGAAATTAAATTTTACTTTTAACAAGGGTTGATATACAGTCTAACCTCGGCCAAAAAAATCCGCTGTGACGAGAAATCCGCTATGGCGAATTTGATGATCTGTAAAAGATTTTTTAAAAATGACTAAAATGACTGGGATTAACATGTTTTATTTAACTAAACTTTAAATGTAATTCAAATACTCAAATTCATAACGAATAAAACAAATAATTTGAGTAAACCTTATTCAAATAGAACCCTAACGACGATCTATTTTTTTTCAATTCATGTATAAAATACATCGTCACCGCTAACCTTTTAAACTCTTATTGTTTCAGGTTTTAAACTACAACGCCTTTGATTAATTAAGTCTGTGTCTCCAGAAAAAACTCGTTCAACCGGGACACTGGTTGCTATAATAATAATAAATTTATCGGATTAGAAATTAATAAATTGAGTTCTAAATAAGCATAGTACAAAAATTAGAATACCAGAAACTGCGAGTAGTTTCTAGCCTAAAGCTCCGAAATTTCAATAAGGTTACGGTTCGGTTCAAAAAGTAAACCAAAACCGAAATGAAATTTTTCGATTTGACCTTTTAGAAACCGAAACCGAATCGAAATTTTATAAATTTATTTAGGAAAAAAATTTAGTCAAATAAATTTTATAATAATAATTCGATTACAGAAAGTACATATTCATACAACATCATAGTTCACATTCCATTGACAGCTTGGTAAATTTAGTTTATGACATTAAGTCTTAAATGCATCATACTTAGATCAAAATTGAAATTATCGGAACAGCATGAGAAGCTCTGCTACTCGGAGTATAAATGGTTTGACCGGGATGCAGATAATTTCTGGTGCTTAGAAAACTCAATTATGGAAAGGTTGAAGTACGAATTGGTATTTCTCGAAATATCAAATGGTCTCTGCATTGAGAATTCCAGCGATATAGAAGGTGATAAATAAAATTAGCTAAATTCTGTAAATGCTAATGGGACTATTCGCTCATGTGAAAGCCAATAACAAAGGAATCTTAACGGTTACATTGAATTCTGCGATTTAGATAATCATCTTTTTAAAAAAATTAGAGAATTATCTTTTTAACCAAATGAAATTTTCAGGTTCACTAATTGACATAAAAAGAAGATTCCACCACTAAAAAAATTTACAATAAATACTCCGCTCAAACTCAACGATGATATTACAACAGATATGATATCTAGAAAACTAATAACTTCAAACAAATCAGTGAAACGTAAACTTGATAAAGTATATAATATTGAATTACTTTCTCACAAACAACAGTACATCCAACGATAATAATACTGATAGTGGCGATGAGACTGTGCAAAACAATACAACGCACATCAATTAAAAAAAAGAACTATTGATATTAAATATAATTTTAAATAAATAAATTCATATATTATAGTATTAGCATGTTCACATTGTTTGGTTTTTTCAGTATGCCTCATATTGTATTTAAACCTTGATATCATAAATCTAATCCAATACTCATACTAACGAAATATACATTTTTGTCAAACGCCCGTTCTTTATTTTGATTTGGTAGGAATGTGACTATCTTATACTAAAAAAGT